GGGGGGGGATTGATGCTGACAGAGACGGGTCAGCTTAGTTTCAGCCATGTAGGAGAGGGTCTTCTGAGAGGTGAGGAGTCAGGCTGTTTCCTATGGGACAGATGGGAAGGGGCTGAGGACAAGCAGAAAGGAATTGTGCATTTAAAGACAAGAAAGGAACAGAAGGATTTAGCTGGAGGCTGTCACTGAGGGTTTAGGGACCAAATAGCCCAAGACCTGTGTAGGCTAGTCTACCCTGTCCTTCTCAGAGAGGCAGGCATGTTTCCATCTACTCCTCTGGAATAGATGTAGTAGAGAGTTATAACACATCGCCTTTGTTTTACTAATGCAAAAACCGAGAAACACAATTTTGAAGTCCCTTGTGCAGGAGGGCTAGAGTGGGGTCCTGGGCTTCCTGCTTCTCTCCTTTGTCTTTGGAAAAGTCTGTGTGTCAAGTCAGAGAGCAGAACACTGTCCATAGTTTTCTCTTCTACCTTCTGAGGGAACAAAGTCTGTTTTGCCCCCAACACTAGTCCACTCATTAGAAGCAATCATCAGAAAGAACAAACACATTTATTCTGTCTACAATGGCTGGCCAAGTTCCAATCCAAACCAGACCCAAACCACTGTGGACCTAATCCCTTAGCCATGTTTCTACAAAAAGAGAACAGCGTTCCTTGTTGTGAGACTTGAGACTGACTCATTGCAAGTTATTGGAGAGCATTTTGACACTGAGCCCTTCATAGCCATACAGTTTTACCAAACTCCAGGAGCAATATGCCAATGCGACTCACTCCACCAGGCAGGGTGTCTAGTATTATCACACATGACTGAAACAGAAAATCTTATGTTTTGGTTTTGCTTCAGTCCCTCTGTTTTCTGCCCCCACAACCCGTATCACACCAGGAAAGGAAGAAAACACAAAGCAGAAATCCAAACAGAGGTGTTTTAATTTGCTACAAAACTGTGTCTGGAAGAAATAGACTATTGTTAAATATTGAGGTGGAATTACACTGAATCAGAAAAAAAAAATGCTATTTTCCCATTTGGAGCATACACCAAGGACCACTGATAGGCAAGACCTGCCAAATGACTTCCATGCTTTGCTATCATGAGCTGTCTAAACGCTCTCTGAATTGTGTGCCCAAAGAACATGTCATTTGAAAAAATTATTAATTAGGCTAATATATTTTTCTCCTCTCTTTCTATAACAGGCGCGTTGTTCCATATGGCCTGGGAAGCCCTTCCAGGTCCAAGCGTTCCTTGAAGGATTTACTTCCTACCAAGACCACAGACCTCGGGAAAAGATGTCAGTGTGCGCACCAAAAAGACAAGAAGTGCTGGAACTTCTGCCAACCAGGGAAAGACCTTGGGTAAGTGAAAAACCCCTTTGACTGTCAGCTACCTGTCTGGCCTGCTGGCCTTCTTCCTGTGAGACCATCTTCTCACTTTAGAGAGAGCAGCAGAGATGTGGAAAGTCAAGGTGAGTCTCAACACACCATGACTAAAATGGTTTTCCCTGTGTGTCTTAACAGAGCCCAAAACACCATGCAGAAAGGCTTGGACGACGACAAGAAGAGAAAAGGCTGTTCCAGGCTGGGAAAGAAGTGTATCTATCAGCAGCTGGTGGAAGGAAGAAAACTCAGAAGGTAAAAGAAGTTCACAGTGGCTGTTAGCCCTGGACACTAGTGCTAATGCCCCCCTCCCTAGACCTTCCTAGTGGGAGAAAGGCTTGAGTACAGTAACAGAACCGTCACGGTCTGTGGACTTGAAAGAGCACAGCGTTCCTCAGATACTCGGGCCACGAGTGCAGACAGCTGCCCACTGCTTCTTAGCACACACTGTTCAGTCTATAGGAGGATCTGCCACACTGAGAGGCAGCTTCAGCATTTGCCAGGTCCAGTCTTTTCTGGTTTCTTTCTTTTCTGCACGCCTCAAGAAACTAAAAAGTGTGTCAAGGAAAAGACATTTAAAATACTTAACATATATCATTCAAAAAATAGAAGTTGTTCAAGAAGGCCGAAGGGAAACACAGGCTTTAGGTAAGGTTGGTGAGATTTAGAACCCGTCATTTTTCGGGGTTATTCTATTAACATTGTTTAAATATGGAAATCTGAAGAGCAGGTGCCTCTTTCCTTGCTTCCTGTGGCACAGGGTTAAGCAACCCCATAGGGTGGTTCCAAGCAGCTTTGTGATGAGCCTTCCAATGTCTTAACTTTTTGAAACTGAGAAGGTGGGAGTGATAAGGGACCCTGGTTCAGACCTGTCACATGCTCCTACTTCTAGAGGCTACTCCAAGAAATGCATGACCAAAGTGTTTCGAGCTCACAGCCACTCCTGTGTGGGACAGCCACGGTTAGCTCCCTTCACAGCTGCCCCACCTTGGGCTCCCTCTCCACTAGGTCACAGTTGCCAAAGCTGAGCCGAGGACCAGCTCCTGTTTGTTGCTTCGTCTTACATCAACTATTACTAATTGATGCTGCAGTTCTTTTTTTATTCCTTCTCATAAACACGCACATACGAGCACACACAAAAACACACACACACACATGCTCACACACACACACACACACACACACAGAGACACACACAAATTAAATTATACCGTTTCTTAAACTGTCATCAAGTGTTCATTCAGATCTACCTGCAGGCTCCCTGACTGTCTCTCCATCTACCTGTTAGCTTCCACATCTTATATAATTTAGAAGGTGTGCTATTTCCCCACAGAGGCAGAGGGTAAAATGAAGCTATTTAAACATAGCATTTAGAGCTTTCTTTCCCTTAGACATTCTCATAGACTTCCTCTGTGCAGTACTAAGCTAAACCACAGGCTTTATTCACACAGTAGTCATGGATGCTGCTTGAGGATTTATCCAAGAGCACCACACTGTCACAACTGGTATAAAAGGCCAAGGACTAGACTTAGTGTGTTTGTGCCAGATTCTAATTTTAGATGTTTCTTTAGCCAAAGAGTGATTTCTTCCTCTCTCTCTCTGTATATTTAAATAACATGTGTTTTCTCTTGTCTTGTTTTAATAGGTTGGAGGCCATCAGCAACAGCATCAAGGCATCTTTTCGCGTTGCCAAGTTGAAAGCTGAACTCTATAGAGACCAGAAGTTGATACACAACCGAGCCCATTGACCAGAGAGCTTCTCGGTGTCTTGGAAGCCGTTACTTCCATAGAGAAAGTCCCATGGCCAACTCTGAACTCTCCATGCTGTCTGGGATCTTAGCAAGAACATCTGTCCAGCTTCTACAGTTGCTTGTTTAGACTGGCAAAGGACCAGCACCCTTGTTCCAAACATTCCAAGAAAGGTTGAGGTGTTCCCTAACCTGTCTTCATTTGCATCTGCTGGTAGCGAACTGCTTTTTGCCTCTTCTTGCTGCTTGGGAATGAGAGTGGACCTCTCAGAGAATGGAGACATGATGCCATTCTAGGGTGCCATCATCCAGAGAGCAAGGAGATTCCACACCAGGGTGGAGTTTCAGCAGAAAGTCCTTAGGGAGTGTTTGTGTCTGACTCAGGCGCCTGGCACTTTTCAGGGAGAAACTCCAAAGTCCATGCAAAAATTTCTGAGGAATGCACAAATTGAAAACATACTCGAAGGACAAACACTTGAGTTAAAAAAAAAAAAAAGAAAGAAAGAAAAGAAAAGAGGACAAAGACTTTTTTTTTTAAGTTGTAAAATGCAAAACTCAAAGCAACTGTTACTACTGTACATTAGGATGTGTTTCCTGAACATGAGTCTACCTCACTTTACTGCACTGTCATGCATAGTTCCCACCTTTAATTATTCCCTCCTTATACTCTCTCCTCTTCTGCCAACAAGCTCTCCATCCCCTGTACTGAATCCTCACCTCATAGAAGTCTGGTCCAATTCGTCAGTCAGTAGTAGATTTCCATGCTAATTTCCATGCTAATCTGCTAAACTCTGCTCTATGAGAAAAAGGATGATGGAATCAGGCCCCTACCCTTGTGACCTTGGGAAGCACAATGGTTTTTTGTGAACAATGTTTAAAATCTGGTTGTGCCTTATAGGAGTAAAAGTACGTTCCCATCTGTAACTGGCTAATGGAAGAGGATAGATTGAACTTTGGTGTACTTATTTTTTTTATAGATATTTATATTCAAACAATTTATTCCTTATATTTACCATGTTGAATATTTGTCTGGGCAGGCCATATTGGTCTATATATTTTTTTAAAGATGTATTTCTGAATGAAATTGAGAACATGCTTTGTTTTGCCTGTCAAGGTAATGATTTTAGAAAATAAATATTTTCCCTACTCTACTGATTTGTGAATTATTTCTAAAAACCCTCAGAAGTGATAATCGGGAAGGGAAATGGTTGAAGAAGGCTTTTTTAGGAAGGTCAAAATTAGAAAGAGAGTGGGATCTTGGCTTGATTTAAAAAGGAAACCTGTTATGCTTCTTTTTTTATATAAAAAAAATTGCTTTTATATTTATTTGGCCTTGCAAGATCATATAGTATGAAGGAAATAAAGAATTCTAAAAGAAGGTATATGACAGTTAATAATATACCTACTTGTACGTAACATATTGCTTTTGGGTTGTGTTAGGAAACACAAAATAAAAGCTTTGTGTCTCGTCTTCCCATGGAGTACAGCCTCTGCTTCTCTTTACCTGAAAATATCCCCAGGGAGGTTGACCATTAACCTTGCGTGTCTTGGCCATTAGACAGCATTCAGCAGTTTAGGCTGATGGTGTGCTGAGAGGTGCTTTCCCCTAAGACTGGGCTGGAGGAAGTGGGAGAAAGATGATCCTCCGATTGCAAGCAACGATACACAGCTCCACACCGAAATGGCTGCTGGGAGAGCCAGGCTTGCTCACTCTACGGAGGCCACCAGTGCCTTTTATTTGCTCAGAGAAGGTATTTTATTTATTAAGGAACATGAGGAACTGTTGCTTTTTCCAAGCTCAGGACTGGTTGGGTAGCTCAGAAGTAGGACACCAGGAGATAATTTTAAGACACTACCCTCCCCAACCCACCCCTACCCCACACACTTTCCCATCTCTGGCTTTGCCAACTATTGGCCAAAACAGTATTACAAATGGTTGTAGCAGTGAAGACTCATAGAAAATTGATGGGTTTCTGGAATCTTCACTGCCTTTGTTTAATAGAAGCTGAAGAAACGTCCAGCATTTCACAAATATTGGCTCTTGGTGACTCCTGTTGTCCTACCAGTAACATGGCAAGAAGATGTCAAAGACAGTCTTCTGGCCTGCATGGCCAATGTCCTGGGCAGTTGCTGCAATTCTTTTTCAACCCCTATTAAAAATTGTTAACACTTTAGAGCACTGTCTAAGTAAGGTACACGGGAGAAGGCTGTGTACAGCTATTTCATTTCAACTAATGATTTGCTCGCTGCTGTGTGACTGTCAGGGGGCTTCCTAAAACCCTGGCCACTTCCACAAGGTACTTGGCCTGAACTTGGTTGCCATTTTGTACTGAGCAAACTATTCAACTCTCTGCCTCAGGAGCTCCCTTGCATTCAGTGAGGGGGTGGGAGGTTCTTTCTTCTTTTTAAATAATTTCAATATAATGTCAAAGATGACAATGTTGAAGTATAGCAGGAAAGTGAAGGCCAGAGCTTAGAGAACGTGAGTCTAATGCATGTAAGAGGTAGAAGCCACTGAATAAAATCATTCAGAGAATGTCACAACTGGAGTAGTGATGGACTTGTCATTTCTAATTGGTTAAACTCTTATGTCCTTTTGCTGTATAACTGCTGCTTCAGTAGCTGACAAGAACAGGGAAAAATATGAGGCGGCCCCTCTCTGGGATTCGGACCAGAAGCGAAAGAAGCTGGGAGCTTTGCAGGCAACTTATTCTTTTTAGGCACACAGGGGAGAATTTCCACTTAACAGTATTTGAACCCCCAGTGAGCCTGAGAGCTGAGCTCCCAGGTTGGTCACTCTTGCTTCCTCCTGAGTTTCCAGAAAAGCATGCTTTCTGGCGTGTAGTGAGAACAGATTTTTCTCTTTACTCTTAAAGACCTAGCAGGGCTTTAATCTCAGGAGAGTCCAGCCTGGACGGGAAGCAGTGACTTTTGGCAGCAATGGGAAGAGAGGATCCTACTAATGAGTACTTCTGTTTCTCTGGGGATTAGCTTCTTTGCTGATGAAAAACCACTGGTTTTGATTGCACCTGTGCTTCTCCAGAGCACACCAATGTGGGGGAATTACAGTCAGCTAGAGTTCCCTCAGAGAGAGACTTGTTAACATCATATCGAATTGGGGCACCTCCTCCCCCTTCTGGAAAGAAAAGAAAGCAGAAGCCAGAGGAGGAAGTGAACTGAAATCACATGGCGGGCGAGCAAGGGCATCTCCAAACCTCAGAGGCCTGGGCACCCTGAAGGTCAACCGAAAGACACACTCAAGCAAACCATAAAAGAGGGTGGATGGGAGGTGGGGGAGTAAAACAGTTTCCCTGAAAGCCTCACCTCCAGCCCCTCTGATAAAGTTAGTTGGCCCAGTCAGGAGCTGGGGCTCCCTGCTAGAGCATTTGCTTAGCCACCACCAGCTCTGGGCTGAATTCCAGGCATTAAAGAAAAACAACTTGTGTCAGGAGACTGGATGGGAGTGGGGTGTGATGGAAGGACCCTGAAGAGCTCTATAGGTCTTATCCCACCATTAAATGAGTAGCTAGAGAGAAACTTTCAATGATAACGTTTAGATGTGTTTATAAAATAAGACTCATACGAGTCGAAAGGAATTCTTTCAGTGAGCTGACGTTCACTCTATAATGCAAGGCAGTGTTTATCTTCTTCCTAAAGTCTTGGAAATGCTGTTTTTTAAGCCTAAATTCTCAACATGTTACAATAGTTTGATCTCGATGGAATCCAGTCTTTCTTTCTCAGGTCAGCTTTGGGCCATGAAAGAGTGGGGAGGTGAATTATCATTTCAATACGCTGCATTTAATGAATGTTTGGCAGAGCTCTTAGTTCTCTGAAACCATGGGCTGTGGTGGGCAAGAGAAGCGCATGATCGCTGTGGAGCAGGATAACTCCCGAAGCAAGTCAGAGCCTCAGAACCACCTTGGTCTCCTGGAAATGCTCTGGAGCCTGGCTCAACTCTAGAACGTTTATCTGAAGATCAGGCTGTGGGGCTTGCCTAGAGCCTCCAGCCTATAATACGCCAAACAACAGATGCCACCCGGTCAATGAATATATAAGCACATACGTAGATTTTTGGGTTTTGATAAAGCTAGATGTGGCTAGACTACAGAAGATTCAGAAGACTTTTTGAGGCTCTCTTTGGAAAGTTTGTATGACCCAAAATCTCTTATTGACGGTTATCCTTAGTGTCAGGCTATGTGACTCAGTAGGGAGTTCGTTCTACATCTCTCTGTTCCAACCTCTTGTATACAACACTCTCACAATAGCAACATTTCCCCAAAGCTTTAGTCATGATTTCAGTAAACACAAACGTAAAAAGAATTTTAAAATGTTTCTTGTTATCCTTTGTTTTTAGATGTCTTTCATCTTTATCTCCTGTGTTTGGGGGGAAAAAACCTGCTACCAATTGAGACAAGGACCATAAAAGAAGGGCCAGAGTAAAAGGAAGGTTGGAAATGATAGAACTTCAGCATTGAGCATACTGGGTTTAAAATTTGTAATTGTGGCTATCTTCAGTCATATCCCACATTAGAGAGCAAAGTATAATAAACTCAGTGTACTAGCTTACAGCTCCAATAAATGTCAAGCTATGACTGATGCCATTTCATCTACCTACATCACATACCCTCCCCTCCCCTCCCCTCCTAGGTTAGTTTGAAGCTGATCCCAGCTATCACTATTATAACATCTGGAAAGTTTTGAGCATAGACATAATGACTATGATATGCTTTATGCAGCCCACTAATATGCTGAATTGTTTGTCAGTTGCATGTGTGTGTCTATAACTTGGAAAGAACAGAACATGTTTCTAAGCCCACGGAATTTTTAAGGATATCTGAGGCAGATGCGCATGGTAGCTGACACTCAGCTGTATCTACTGTGTAACAGATGCTCTTTGGAGAGCTTTGCAAGTATCACTTCACATTAGCAACACTCTGTGAAGCTGGTAGTTTTATTTGTACTATTTTATTGATGAGGAAACTACTTGTGTTTAAACTTTTAAAAATTATGTGCCAATTTATTTAATGTTAAACAGGTAATAAGAGTTACAAATTCAAATAATTTACTCACTGATTTTTTTTTTAATTCTTAAAAAAAAAAAACCCCATGAAATTATAAAAACTACTTTGGGGTAATAAACTCCTCTCTAGTAAAAGTAACGGTGACAGGTGAGGGAAGGGACAACTTAGTGGGAAGAGAGAATGAAAAATGTTCCTTAGACCCATAAACTAAGCAGGATCTCATGCAACGAATTTGAAGCTCAATCAAAGGAGGCTTCTCAATAAACTGTTCTGTCTGCAGATGGCTTCATAAAAGGAACAGCCTAACGTGCTCACACTGTTGATTCATAAGGAAGGTAAACAGGAATCTAGAACATGAAGAGGTGACTTACCCGTATTAGAATTTCGCCAGGATAATTCACACAGCAGCACTGGAGACCTTAAATACAACCAAAGCAAGCAACGGGAACACTGTACCTCTGCAAGTGCTGATGGTTTTTCCTTTAAGTGACTTGCTAAGGACCAGAGAGAATGATTAATTGAATGGCAGTGAAATCTTAAATCAGCACGTCAGCAATAGAGAAATCCAAAATGGTGTTGGTTAGATTGAATTTTTGGAAATTTTCTTTTTTTAAACAAAAAGAAAGCAGTTCCAACAGAGTTTAATTAAATTTGGGAATTTTTAACTTGATTTGTACCCAGTACTATGACATATGCAATGAAAGTCTGTTATTAATCAAAAGTAAAATTATTTTGTACTCAAAGCCTCTACCATGGTCACAAATGTCTCCTTAACAGATCACAAATTCCCACGTGATTTATGGGAATCATAATCATAAACTGCTTAATTTTCATGCCAACTCAGTTGCCCTTTTGGGCTGGACAGTTTGTTAAGATACGATTAACAGTAGTCATAGCTATGGACATTGATCTCTGGATTGATCACTAAGGACTTGTCCATTTTGCTTTAATTAATGGCCACTGAATGCCCTGTTAGATGAAAGACAACCTGTACTGGACAG